GTCCAAGGAATATATTTCCGAGATGATCTAAGGGCCCAACTTGTTAGTGACGAGGGCTCATTTCACCTTGAAAGTTACATCTCTCCACAAGGGGACGCACATTACTTAAAAAAGTCTCAATCCAGGACTCGCAGTGTACACTGTTGGCCTCTCATCCCCAGTGTTCGAATTAAAATTCACGATTTGTTGTGGCACGGCGTGGAGCTGCCAGTAGCAGTGTACATGGTCGTGTCTGTGGTCACCTCGGCTGGATTTTTTCTCAGGGTCCTCCGGTTTTCCCCTCCACATTTATGGACATGCGTCTAGACGATTTTGCTGCTATAAATGTCCAAATGATAAGCCACTTTGTTGAGCGATCATTCGTGACCAGGTCGCGTTTGAACAAGTTACTATTTCGATTTAAAGCTTTCGTGATTGCAGGGATTCATATTCTTGGTTCTTTCGGTAGTCACATAGAAGGGAAATATTGTTTAGTTTTTTTGTATTATTTCCCTTCTACGTGACTTTACCGAAAGAACCAAGAATAATAACAAGTTAATACCTCAGTGGGCTGTCTGGTAGGATGGGGATGGTTTAGTGTTGTATTTGTATGCGTTTGGGTGATTTGTTCACCTTTCTTGTAACTTTGCACCCGCCCCGACTGGACATGTTAAAAAGAGCTTTATAGCTCAACGGATTCCTCCAGTATAAGTATTCATTGTTTGAGGATTTAAATTGTTTGAGATGAAAGCCTTCATATGTAAAATTCAAGATGCCGCCAGGGCACCCGAGTGATGTCACCACAGTTGTTGATCTTTAAAAAAAATGAGAGCAAGCGATGCCACAAATGTTACCCAAGTGTTCCAGACCTTAGCTTGAAATTGATTTAGTTTTTCATTCAAAGCTTTAAAATGACATCAGAAGGCTCAAAAACAAAGGTGATTATCTTCTGAGTTCAGCCTTTTTGTTTTATTAGAAACTGCAGGGGCACCGCTGTGATCTGCAGTTTACGATGACACACCACACCGCTTATTGTCTACGTTCTTTATTTACACACACCAATCACAGTGCACGGAGCACAAACACAGAGCTCATCGGTTTTTTTTGCAATTCCTTAATTTGTCCACACACACACTTAAACGTTAATAGGGAATGATTTTCTTGGTAAAACACATGCCTTTTTGCTTTTTTATGTTTTTTTCTCACAAACAGAAATAAAATTTCATCCACAGCTGTACACACAACACGGTATCTTCACTCATACTAAAAACTGCCTGCAGTATGTACAATATAGTACACAACATCTTTGTTGTAGTGTTTATAACAGACATTCCTCGAAAAAAGAGGACAAGTAAAAACAACCGGGTGCTTCGAAGATGCCTGTACGGCCTTCACCCAATTGCATAGGAAGTGATGTGGATTTTTCCACTGGAAGTCAATTCTCTCCACAGTCCTCACTTGTGACAGTGATCTGCTTGAATGCCCTTTCACACTGGAATCGCGTCTATATGGTATGATAAAAAACACGTTTTAAAGGATTGTCATGCGTATATTACGGAAATGAAATTGAAGGAAAACCAAATGACAAGTTTGATTATTGAAAGGGTGTCGCAATCACAGGGTTCATGGATGCAGATGGCAGATCGGCGTTGGACGCTCCAATGTATTTGTTCAACGCTTAAAAGGCGAGCGTTCTTGGCCCTAATCTTGGCGGGGGAGACGAGAGACTCTCCCGACGATCATCGGTAAAGCCCAGAAGGGGTTCGTCAAAAGCAGGGGCCTCCGCAGAAAATGTTAAGACCCTAGTTAACGCAATTGAGATGGCCACTAGAAACCACCTCCCCTGCACACGGCCCCTTACGATGGATGGGAGTCGAGGCGTTTGACAAGAGTCGAGTGGGCCTTCCTCTTCCGGGGTAAAATGGACCAATTTTTATTCCCCTCGCCAATTCACAGACACGTGTGCCGACTTCTCGAAGCGAGCCCCACCGGCTTCGGTCGTCGTAGCGAACGAATTGGCGTCCCGTAGCGTTTCACGAGGCAGAGAAAGGAGACGGGGGTGCCCGGCCTCCCCCACTGTTGTTTACTTTAGCAATGGGAAGCACTGGCTGAAAACGTCAGGGAGAAAGAATCCTTATATTGACACGGCAGAGAACAAAATACATCTCAACGCATATGGACCATATCTCAAGGGAAAGGAATTCGTGGCCAGACGGTCCTCGCCCCTTGTGCAAGTGAGCAAGTCCAACGTGGGGGGGGGGGGGGGGGGGGGGGCTGGGAGAGGACAGGGATCGAAAAGAGGGGTTATACCAACCCCTCAGGGACTTGAGCGGGAATTCACGGAGGGAAAGTACTACCGCACAACGGCCACATGGATTTTCTTTTCTTTTAGGGTTATCCCCAGGCCCCTTCCTCTCTCCTTTACTGGCCTGGGATATCCCTCAAGTTGTTTTTACCCCCCCCCCTCATCTAAAAGTCCATCTTCCCCGCGTCGTGGTGTTCCACTTGACTGGGGTAGCGGGCCCCGATCGTCATCTTTTATCACCCCCCACCCACTCCCGCGTTCTCTTAAATGGTTCAATCGCGTTGGTATTGTCGTCCGCGAACCACGTTGAGTAAGCTATGCAACATGCTGTTACGGGCATGCATTTTATTACAATAACAATGGGAGAGGGGGAAAAAAGCGAACGTTATGTTTCTAGCTTCTTTTCCAAAACGTTCGTCAGGCTGTGTATCTTGTGCTCAACAGAGTTGCTGCATTTGACAATGGATTCAGATGCTGCAATATGAACCGAATAGCCGTGTCACATTCTTGGATCCTGGCTTTTAACCACGATGAAATAAGCATGTCTCTTTGGAACGGTTCTTGCAATGTCCAGTGCACAAATAAAACAAGAAGCCGACACGCAGAACCTCAGCCATATTTTCAGGCTTTTTTGTATGTATGTATACATATATATAAACATATAAAGCAGCAAATGGATCACAGGTTGTGACTCGGTTTCATCCTCTGTCACGGACCTCCGTCATCTTCCGTTGAAACGCTCTGGGGCCTAGTATCGGTATGGCCGAGCAATCGGACGACGAAATTCGGGCGCGCCTTGTTGGAGCTTGGCTTGAAGGCGATGCCCATCGAGACAACCACCGCACGCCTTGTTGGAGCTTGGCTTGAAGGCGATGCCCATCGAGACAACCACCGCACGCCCTGTTGTAGTTGTTGATGAATAAAATTAATTCCACTGAAGCGAAGTCCGCCAAGCTATCCTACCGCCAAACCCGGCCGCGCCTTCCGGAGCCTTCCCGAACTTTCAATAGCTGCAGCACTGTGGGCCGGCTCAGTGGCAACCTCAGACACGGACTTCGACTGCTACTCGTCCTTCTTAAAGAATAACCAAGACCCGACCGTGGTCGCTACTCCCGACGTGAGCACCAACCGGCGCAAGAAAGACCTCGACGGACCGAGGTACATCCGCTTCCCTCACGTCTCCCCTTGGGCTATGCAGACGCGTCCAGCAAGTTGCTGTCCAACAGGCTATCGTGTCACTCTGCCTCCACGTTGAGACAACGTAGAGACTGAGTGATGGCCAAGAAACCGACGGCGGCGGCCAGCGGTAAGATGGTGGACTCGTTCGACTAGAGTCAAGTACTACCTGCTGTGCTTCGGCCTGGGCATGCTATTCGTGTGGATGGCCATCTACCTGCTGACGCGCGATAAAATGTCTCCTTTACAAACGATGAGACCTGCGGAAAGATCCGTTCCTTGTTCGCCATTCGTGCAGGTAACTATGCGGGATATTTGAAGGGGGCAGCAAGTCGAATTACCTATGGAAAAGGTGAAAGAGGAGCTAGAAATAAAGAGCAACAATCAAGCTGTGTTTATAAAGCACTAGAGGCACTCGTTCTGGTTTTGGAGTAAAAGTGCACGGGCTCGATCCGAACCTGAAGGCAGTGAACACATTAGATGTGATGTTGCTGGAACCTATTCACCTTCAGCGGTCCTTTGCATGCCGCCTGCGCCAGTCCATCGTCCTTCTGCTCATCTGCTTCGCGATCACCATCCCTTCTGAGGGCTGCTTGTCGATGGAAAGTTGTGGTCGAAACAAAACGAAGAAAGAGGGAGAAGCAGGTCTCCGAGCTTGTGGAAAAGATCTTGGAGCCGCTTGAGCAGACCAATTGGAAGGCAGCGGCCGTTCCTCCCCATCTACCAAGTGCAAGACAGCCTCATCAAGCTTCGAGACCGGGACGGGAAAGCGGCCTGTGTGGAAGCAGGCGGTACAGTTAACCACTGCCGTCGAGAATGTGCAGTTTTGGAAGGTCTGGCGAAGGACATGGTTGCCCACGAGCGCCGGATCATCACCTGCCACGTCCCCTGAGAATTTTTCCAATTTTGTAAATTAATAGCAGTTCTTTATGTTTGTACTTTTTTCCCAAGTGTTTTGCACAATGCCTTAGAGAGGAGGGCACAGTGTGGTGGTTTGGTGTGTGTGTGTGTGTTGTGACCTGCAGTGTGGTAGTTTAGTGTGTTTCGAGATGTTAACTACCTCGCCTGGTAAACAGGTCATGGGTTCTATCCCGACCCTGACGCCTGTATATCTGGAGTTTGCATGTTCTTCCCGTGGTTACGTCGATATTTCTCCAGGTCCTCCGGTTTTTCCCTCCACATTTAGAAACATGTTTTTAGATTATTTTGGCTGTTATAAATGTACACACGATAAGCCACTTCGTTGACCAATCATTTGTGGTCAGGTCGCTTCCGAAAAAAGAACTACGTAGCTCAGTGGGCCTTACATGGTAAAATAAAATAGTTCCTAAAACTTGACATGGTTATTTACGGTATACCTACAGTGTTATGTTGTATGAAAACAAGAGTTATTGTCATCTTTGCATTTGTTAACAAAGACTAGATTTTAAAAGTGCTTTAAGAAGTAAATGGGTGGCTTTACAATGGATTGGCTTTAGTCATGTCCACAACTAAGCAAGTGCAAATCAAAGTACAATGGTACCAGGTGTTCTGGATTCTCAAAAGCCCACACAAATCTGCCAAGACCGTTAGGCACTCCCAAAAGCAACTTCCGAATTTGTCATAGCGTGCCAGCTGAAATTTGTGCAAACGAAGGATGGTATCTTTCTTGCTGAAGATCCGAAAGCGTAGCGTTTGTTTGAACAGTCACAGCGTTAGTCTGAACAGTCACGGAGGTCTTCTGAGTTGCAAGATCACACGGCAATCTTGCACACAGATCTTGTTTTGTTCATAACAATTGTTCCGCAAGGCCCCGTTCTTTGTGCTAAAAATGAAGGCAGTCAATGAAACCCTGCTACTAGATCTTGAGGCTGCTCCAATGAACGTCCTTGTGAGTCCACCTCGTGCATTTGTGAGAACGGGAAAAGCCCCCCGGGGCGTTCCGAAAACCTCGAATGTCAGCAAGCAATCCGTTGGAGGACGCTGGAAGTTCTGGTGGCGCAGAGAAAATAACTGCCGCACATCAACTTGCAGCTGGGTTTCTCAGCATGCAGAACACGCTGGGGCCATTCTGGAACGGGAATGGCAGCGCCCTGTTAGGGGCTCGAGACGCGGCTTGGGAGACCGGCGGTGCTCACAGCAGGATTTGGGCTACATGCGGCGAGTGTGTGCTGGCGATGGCCGCAAGCAGTGGCAGATCGTTCGCTTCAATCCTGAGGGGAACAATATACACGGCAAATTAAGCATTTGTGTTGTGCAACTTTCTCGTTTGCGGTTCATGTTGAATCACATTTTCGACTGATAATTTTAAAAAACTGTTCGCAGGAGTTTTGTTTACCGCTCTGTTGATAGTGTTAATGTTAACCCTGCGGGCAATGTAAAATGAAACATCTTATGCACATCAATGCATTACACGATTTCATGCCATTAAAAAAACTTAAATATTCAACAATAACTGATGGAAATAAATGCATAACGGAGAGTAGCAGCAAACACCAGATTGGACTAGAAATAGAGTTTAGTATGAAGGCACGGATTACATCGGACATGGCAACATTATTCTGTGTGTGCACAGGTGTCTGTGATGCACAGGTGTCTGTGATGCACAGGAGCAGTAATGCAGCGGTGAGTGCGCTGCACTATGAATCTGGCGACACAGGTTCGATTTCCCGCTCAACACGAGTGAAGATTATCTGAACCGGTCCTGGGCCTCCCCTAGGTCGACTCAGCCTCAAATGAGTACGTGGTGCATTGTGTAAACATTGCTACTGGGAAGACAAAGGCGATCGGGCGTGCTGTTGGTCACCCACCGCCTCATGTACCATTCCGGTGCCAGCTAACAGCACTTGTCCCAACAGTCTGTTAAGGCTATAATACGGGGGGATCTTTGTCATTGTGATGCACGATGAGGGGAAAACCACACATGACGTAGGACTCACCCCAGCACAGCACTCAGCTCCTTGACGTGGACTCGTGTCTGCCCACGCAGATACTCTGCCAGAACCTTGCTCTTGGAGTACAGCTCCTGCAGCCGGTCTTCCAAGTGCATTACACACTGCACGTGTGTACGTACACACACACACACATTTTCAACACCATTAGGCAAAGCACGTTTCACTGTCACGACTGCTTAAATGCATGCAATCCACACGCTGCCGAACAACACTGTGTACAACCCGAGAGCGTATCGGGGAGAGCCACAAAAACTGCCCATGTGGACGATGCGGCACTCACGAAGTCGGCCGGCATGTGCAAGCGCCACAGCTGCAGCGTGGAGCTCAGGATCTGCGCGACTAGGCTCGACACGAGCGCTTCCGTGGGGGGGCGGCCCCCCTCGTTGGTCGATCCCACTCCGCCGCCACCACGCCGCGGCTGCTGCGAGCTGGAGAGGAGCTGTACCGACCAGCGCTCCGTGTCGGCCAAGATGCAAACGGCCTCGGCTATTGGCTCGTCCAACACTGGGTGCTAACATCGCATGCGGGGAGAAAAATGGGATTATGAACAGAAACCACGAGACCACAGTGCCATGTGCGCCGCGCGGTCTGGACATGCGGACAGTTGCATTAAACATCTTGAGTACCGTGTTTGACAAAGGAGAATTCCATTGGCCATCGGCCTGTACAGTGAGGGAAAAAAATATATGATCCCGTGCTGATTTTGTACGTTTGCCCACTGACAAAAAAATGATCAGTCTATAATTTTAATGGTAGGTTTATTTGAACAGTGAGAGACAGAATAACAACAACAAAATCCAGAAAAACGAATGTCAAAAATGTTATAAATTGATTTGCATTTTAATGAGGGAAATAAGTATTTGACCCCTCTGCAAAACATGACTTAATACTTGGTGGCAAAACCCTTGTTGGCAATCACAGAGGTCAGACGTTTCTTGGAGTTGGCCACCAGGTTTGCACACATCTCAGGAGGGATTTTGTCCCACTCCTCTTTGCAGATCTTCTCCAAGTCATTAAGGTTTCGAGGCTGACGTTTGGCAAATCGAACCTTCAGCTCCCTCCACAGATTTTCTATGAGATTAAGGTCTGGAGACTGGCTAGGCCATTCCAGGACCTTAATGTGCTTCTTCTTGAGCCACTCCTTTGTTGCCTTGGCTGCGTTTTGGGTCTTTGTCATGCTGGAATACCCATCCACGACCCATTTTCAATGCCCTGGCTGAGGGAAAGAGGTTCTCACCCAAGATTTGACGGTACATGGCCCCGTCCATCGTCCCTTTGATGCGGTGAAGTTGTCATGTCCCCTTAGCAGAAAAACACCCCCAAAGCATAATGTTTCCACCTCCATGTTTGACGGTGGGGATGGTGTTTTTGGGGTCATAGGCAGCATTCCTCCTCCTCCAAACATGGCAAGTTGAGTTGATGCCAAAGAGCTCCATTTTGGTCTCATCTGACCACAACAGATGTTCATTGGCAAACTTCAGACGGGCATGTATATGTGCTTTTTTGAGCAGGGGGACCTTGCGGGCACTGCAGGATTTCAGTCCTTCACGGCGTAGTGTGTTACCAATTGTTTTCTTGGTGACTATGGTCCCAGCTGCCTTGAGATCATTGACAAGATCCTCCTGTGTAGTTCTGGGCTGATTCCTCACCGTTCTCATGATCATTACAACTCCACGAGGTGAGATCTTGCATGGAGCCCCAGGCCGAGGGAGATTGACAGTTCTTTTGTGTTTCTTCCATTTGCGAATAATCGCACCAACTGTTGTCACCTTCTCACCAAGCTGCTTGGCAATGGTCTTGTAGCCCATTCCAGCCTTGTGTAGGTCTACAATCTTGTCCCTGACATCCTTGGAGAGCTCTTCGGTCTTGGCCATCGTGTAGAGTTTGTAATCTGATTGATTGATTGATTCTGTGGACAGGTGTCTTTTATACAGGTAACAAGCTGAGATTAGGAGCACTCCCTTTAAGAGTGTGCTCCTAATCTCAGCTCGTTACCTGAATAAAAGAAACCTGGGAGCTAGAAATCTCTGATTGAGAGGGGGACAAATACTTATTTCCCTCATTAAAATGCAAATCAATTTATAACATTTTTGACATGCGTTTTTCTGGATTTTGTTGTGGTTATTCTCTCGCACTGTTCAAATAAACCTACCATTAAAATTATACACTGATAATTTCTATGTCAGTGGGTAAACGTACAAAATCAGCAGGGGATCAAATACTTTTTTCCCTCACTGTAAGTTGGTCTGGGTGCTGCCATGCATTATGCAGAATTCCAGGGCCTTAGAAGGTGATACATTTTCAGACAAACCATGGATCTCAAACTCAAAGGCCCTTATTGAAATCCTACTCAAAACTGTTAGTGCTTCGAGGGGGATCCATTTGACATTTGAGTGTCAAATTACACAGCTCGTGTGCCTGTTCAGTATGTGACAACAAGAGAGTAAGTATTTGACCAGGTGTGGCAATTGTATCATCTGTCTTAGTGTACAGCTTTGCCCAGGTTCCTTCCACGTGGCAACTGCCAGCTGTAAGAAGCATACCTCCCACCGACGTGCGTGGCACGCTATCGCTCGCGCACCGTTCCATCGTCACCCACGTGCCATTCCGCTGTCCCCCGTGCCGTGCGTTCAACCCGCGCCGCGCGTGCTCACCTGTGCGGTGTGCGCCAGGTCGTCGGCGATGCGGTCCCGCAGGCCCTCGTCCCCGGGGATGCCGTGCAGCACGAGGTCGGGCACGTAGCGCGGGCAGTAGCCGCCGACCAGCGAGCGCCCATAGTTGCTCATGCCGCGTCCGCACGGGGCCACCTCCACCAAGTCCGATCTGGAAATAGCACCCCGAACGCACCACACGAGCGGCTGTTTAGTGGAGCCTCGTTCCCCCCGTGTTACGCGTCGACACGGTAATCACGTCCAATGGAAAGCTTTAATTATTTCCAAGGTCCGAGGAGAAATATATATGCTGAGAATAGACCAAACGTGCTCATGGGGATTATGTTCACTTGCCATGCTGTGCTAAGAACCTGTCAACCCCCAGTTTGTTCCCTGGCCACATTACATCAGCAGCAAGTTAAATAAGAACTGTTCCCTTCCTCCCACAACCCCACTAACCCACACTGACCAGCATGGTGAAGTATGGTCAGAATTTCCCCATTTACTAACAGAGTGTGGAAGCCTTCAGCCTCTTAGTGGATTGAGAATGACTAGAATTTATTAAGTTTTACCTCTATTTTGTTCAAGCTTGGATAAGCACGATTGTCTACGTACAGTGTGAGAGAAGTTCAACGTACGTACAAATTACCATCATCTCTAATTTAAACAAACACAATTGAAAAAGCATCCTGCTCGTGGGCATGGGTGTCTGCTGGCGTGGGCCCGGTGCGATGGCTGCGAGTGCTAACCTGGGCATGGGGAGCTCCACCTCCTCCGGGCAGGTGTGGAGCCGGCGCGGCTCCGGGCAGCCCTCCTCGCTGTCGCTGTCGCCCAGTGCGCTGTCCGAGCTCTCGTTGCGTGGGATGTCCCCCTCCTCGCGGAATGCCGCCGCCTTCTTCTTGCCCTTCCGGCCAGGTTGCCCGGCGGCGGCGCGGCCGCTTGCCACCGAGTCCGGCACGCAGCAGTCCGAGAGCTGGGGGCTCCCAATGGTGAACACCGACGGGCGCCGGACGCGCGCAGCGTCCTGGCGTGACGACCCGCTAACGGAGGCAGGACGAACCGCCTCCACCTCGCATTCTTCATCTTCTTCCTCTTTCTCCTCCTCCACCTCCTCCTCCACTTCGGGGATGTTTTGCCTCGTGGAGAGGGCTGAGACTTCACCAGCGCCTTCTGTGGGGCTTCCCGCCCGCGCCATTGCGACCGGAGATGAAAGCGCCGGGCGCCCACTACTTCGGAAGCGCATCTCGGCGGGGATGTCGTCGATGGTTTTGGTCTCGATCACGTTCTTTTCGTCGAAGTATTCATCGAAGAGGCTGCTGCTGCTGCTGCTGCTGCCCCCGCAGGACGGCAGCCTGCGCAGGGCGCGGCCCTTGGGGGGGCCAACCGGCCGGCCCGGCTTAACCTCCGCGCGCTCCGCTTGACTCGGAGCCGCCAGCTGAGTCCGAGGTGCCGGCTTGGGCTCAGAAAGCGGAGTCCCGCGCGGGCTCGGGGCACGCCCGTCGCCCTCAAACGTCCTGAAGGTTTTGGAGAACTGCTTGCCGCGTGCCTCCGTGTCCGAGTCCGGCGAGAAGGAACAGCCGATGAGGAACTTGACCTTGCGACTGCCCTGCGGGCTGGCGCCGGCTGAGAAGGCGATGGCGTCCGTGTGCAGCTTGTCGGAGCAGGAGGTGCGCCGCAGCGCCGACTCGGCACGCTGCTCGCCCTTCTCGCCCTGCGGCACGGCGAAGCCGAATCGCTCAAATTCCGCCTCCGCCATCTCCTTGGCGGGAAGAATCAGCTCCCCGGAGGCCGAGCGAGTCACGCACATCAGAACCTCACGCCGCGTGTCTATGCGGACGTCCCCGACGTCGCGGCACAGCTGCACTGCGCCCGCGCCGCTCGGGCTGCCCGGAGATGCCGGCTGCTGCGGCGGCTCGGGTGGTACAGGGGCGGCAGCGGTGGCGGGAACGCTGGGGGCCTCCTCGGCATCCACCGCAGCGCCGAGTTCACAGCCGCAGCTGTCCACGTCGCCTCTCGGGCAACCGGTGTCTGGAAAAGTTCTCTCCTCAGTGCCAGCGGATGGCGACGCTGCCCCTTCGGCTCCAGACGTCTTAGACGAAGGTTTCTTGGTCGCGGCAGCAGGAGCGGCGGAAAGGGAAGCGGCGCCGGCGGGAGCGTAGGACCGCGACGAGGAGGAGGAGGGCTGCAGCGTGACGACGACGTACTCGGAGTCCTCCACCTCCCCCCGCTCCAGGCTGGTGGTGATGCAGGCGGTGCCGCCGCCCTCCCACTCGAGGAGGCTCTCCTGGATCTCGGAGCAGCGCACGAAGTAGGTGAGCACGTAGAGCAGGCGCTGCACCAACTCCTCGCAGTGGCCCACCACCACCGTGCGCGTCAGCTTCACGGGGCTACCCAGCGCACCGTATAGATCGCCTGATCACACACGTGGGTCGGGAGAGGAGGGAAGAGGGGGAACGGAACGGTTTTTGTACGTGCTGTCCAGCTTTCGCCACGTACTTCCCCACGCACTTCTGCGGGGTGGGGTGGAAATCTTCGGGAGTTGAAGATTTAATTCAATGATTCATTAATCCTATATTGAATGAACATGTGTACGTATATTCTTGGTTCTTTCGGTAAAGTCACGTAGAAGGGAAACAATATTATTTTAGAATTATTTTATTGTGTCCCTTCTACGTGACTTTACCAAAAGAACCAAGAATATGAATCCCTGCAGTCACGAAAGCTTCAAATCAAAATGTGTACGTATAGTTCAACATTTCTATCGCACGTGGCAAGGATGCAACAATTTACCCCCCCTCCACGATGTAATGAACTGTAACGATATCATTCAGTAACCACAGTTATGATTCAATTCAAAGTTGTTTTCCTTGTAGTTCATGTAGAAGTCTAAGAAACAAAAAAACCTTGACCGTAAGCATACAAATCTATTTCAACGAATCAACCATTGCAGCTTTCTATCCTGAGAATAGCATCAAAATGTACAAAGGACCAAGCTACAAAAGAGTGTAATACACAATGTGGAAACGTGCACATCGCTATTAAAAAAAGTATCAACTTGTACATATGGCATTTTTTATTTCATTCCTTGTTTATTTTATTCTACCCCCACCCCCCCGGGCCCATGAGCCTTGGTGCGATTGCACTCTCCTGCACACGTGCGACAAGAATGCAGGATGCCACTGTACGCGTTTGCGGCCTCACCGAGCTGCGCCCACAGCGGGTTGTAGGGGTGCGATCGCGCCAGCATGTCCAGGCTCGTGGACGAGTGCTTCTGCGCGAACGTGTGCAGCGGAGGGTGCCCGCTGGGGATCACCGTGGGCACCCACGCCAGGTGGTGCGTCAGCACAGCCGACAGCAGCGCTGGCAAGAACCTGTGTGTACACCAAAGACAAAGATCCCCACCACCCATTATAGACTTAAGAGACTTGTGGGGAAAGCGAGTAGCACCGATGAAGGCTGGCACACCACACGAGGTGGGTGGGTGGAAAACACCACAACTGATCACCTTTGTTGCCCCAGTGCCGATGTTTACACACGACACCAGGCACTCATTAGAGGCTGGCTCAACCGAGGGGAGGCCAAGGACCGGTTCAGATATTCGTCACTGGTGTTGGCCCCGAGTGGGAATCGTACTCGGGCTGCCAGGATCGTAGCGCAGCGGTGCGCTAACCGCCACACTCGTGCTCCGCGCGTGTGGTGTATGCACCACATACACCGCACTCGTGGAGAGAGATGGTGTGACGGGGGTCATTCGGTGTATGCGCAGCGCCGGATTCCATGACTCTTTGTGCTTGGTTGTGCGTGTTTAGGCAGGGGGTTCGAAATCCAGATGTCTGGAAACTCCTCGAGGACATTCAACATTGATCCTCGGATGCAACCCTGATACATTCTACACATTTTTAGTGGGTTGGGTCTAAAACGTATTTTTGCTAGTGTGGTAGAATTAAATCTTTACATTAAGTGCATTTTTGATGCATAATTGTAAGCATCGATTTTAATCGATGGGGTGATGCATTGTTTAAAGCTGAGTATTTACACACAACAGGGCGAGCTTCAGACCTTGACAAAGCAGTGGAAACATACGGTCTTGGCCATTGGCCACATTTGTATTGTAGACAAGAGGCATGTTTACGACTGCAATTAAACTAAAAGCAACATCTGCCAACACGTGAATCATGTTCTTATAGTACACAAACCACTAACAATCGCACAAGTTACAGCGCGATACACTGTACAGTTTACATGAAAGCAAGCGGTAGCGTGCAAGGGCCATCCTTTTTTTAGAACAGCTTTTTGTGTGTAGTTTGTTGTCCTTCCCCCACACCTCCGATTAGTACGGTTGGCTACGTACGGTGCGAAAGAAGTTCAACATACACACATACAGATATACATTCTGCGTCACGCCTGGACGTCCTCTCACTGTATCTGCACGCGTGTCACGTACTGGTTCTTGCTGGCTTGCTCAGAGAGGGCGGCCAGTTCGCGCATGAATCGGCGACACAGCTGCGGCTTGTCGGATGTGGGCAGTGTCATGGTGAGCCACACGGGTTCCGGGATGCGGGGCAGCGTGTAGAGATCGCTCACCGCCATCCTGGAGGCGTGGTGGGAAGTGGTTAAGGGGGTGGCAGAGAGGGTGGTAAATGCCATGGCACGAGCATCCACAGTAAGTCACAATGCACCATTGCTGAGCTGCTGTGCTATGCACTACATGGGCAGCACCTATCCCAGCAAGGAGCGCATATACTATACAGCGGCGGTCCCCAACCTTTTTGGCACCAGGGACCGGTTTCGTGGAAGACAATTTTTTCACGGACTGGGGGGGTGGGGGCGGGGTGTTCATCATTGGGTCTTTCCCCCTTTTCAAAGAAGCTCTCCAGCGACGTTTGTTTTTTTACTCATTTTAGCTACTAGGGTTAGAGCTTGTGGGCTTACCGACACTGTGACTGAGACAAGTGCGCAGTGCGGGAAAGAGGCGCAGACGGAAGTGGTAAATAAAATCATGGGCCACGCGCGGACTCACCGCTCACCTTCTGCTGTGCGGCTCAGTTTCTAACAGGCCACGGACCGGTACGCGGCCCGGGGGTTGGGGACCCCTGCTATACAGCACAGGGTGATGTCCTTATTTAGCTTGTGGATGTATGCTCACTCTTAGGCTTTTTATACTCGGCTCCACTATTGTGCTATTATGTATATAGATAAATAACGATGCGTGTACTGTGTGTGCAGCCCTTTATTTATTCACTGCTGGTTGCGAGCCCGTCTCTGGTGTAGGCCAATCAGTTTCAAAGACAATGCATATATTATTAGAGCATGTTTCTTTGCATTTTTGCCACAAGTATGGGTGATTAATGCAGACTTAATGCCTTGCAACAGGTGTCTATTTGGTGTTTGAACATCTTAACACCTGTGTTATTGCCACAAAGGGTAAAGCCTATTCTTCTTATTTCATTGTTTTGATATTGGCAAAAAAAACAAGGTCCCACAGATGTTTTTCTTGCACCGACCTCTGCTACCCAACTACCTGACAAGCACGGTGATCACCCATCAAAGCACCATGCACACTCAAGGCCTGCTTAGCTTCCCAAACCTGATGAGGTTGGGTACATTCTCCTCGATTTGGTCATGGCCTTATGATAGGGACTGTCAACCAAGTGGTTGGCCGAAGTGACCCAGGCGTGAATCACCTGAAGCGGCTCAGAGCATCCATGATTCTTTGCACGTACACCTGGGATCTCTGCATTGGGTCCTGGATCTTCCTGCAGGTAATCATCGCCTACAGAAAACAAAACAAAAAAATATATATTTGAGTATAAAAGCTCTCGGCTTGGGTATGATCAAACAACCCCCATGGCCCAAACAGTGTGGGGCAGGCCCTCATTCAGCAGTGTACTGAAAAAGGGCTGTGCATGTACATAAACGATATGCTGTGGTGAGACAAGACGCGTAGAACGGCCGTGTCAGTACTTGTGTCAGGCTCTGAGTGGATGGGCAGGAGGCTCTACAAAAAGTTTGGGTCGCGTGTGTTTGCATGTCTTCCTGCTGCCTTATACTGCGCGTGTGTAAAATTTGTTGGGCATGCGACTATGATTTGACTCGTCGATTAAAGTAGTTTTTTATGCGCACGATACCTGCTTCAAATCCTGCATGTTGGAATCAATTGCTTGTGGTCCAAGCTAATGGTAGTAAAGTGTAGATGGCTCGCGCACTGCACTATGAGCCCAGATGGCATCACTGCCGAGTTTGGAAACACATGTTTACAGTATTCGGCTGCTATAAATTTCCAATGTGATAAGCCACTTCGTTGAGCTATCAAGTGGCCAGGTCACTGAGCTATATAGCTCAATGGGCCTTACCTAGTAAAATAAAAGTATTTAGTTAAAATAGTGGTAGCGTGTGAATGAAGATTCACAAGCCGCGCATGTAGTAATAGCTACATTATCATGAGACAATGTCTTAAGTTAGATTAATAAATGAATGGGAGCGCAATGGAACCGCATGTGACCTCGCACTGGGGATTGTCGTCACCTGCTCTATGGCCGTCTTGAGTCGGTCCATGTGACTCTCGAAGAGGGGGAAGTGAGAGAAAAAGAACTCCTGGAAGCGCGCCTCCTCGTCCTCGGCGCACGGTGACAGGCAGAAGATGATGCCGATGGCGATTTTCCTGCGCCGCACGGACGACGGGTTGGAGCTGCAGCAGCCTTCCGCCAAGCTGAAGCCTTCCTCGCCAGACCTAGGCGAGACCAGGGAGGGGGAATAAGCGTCAATGAGTCTCCTATGGCAAAGGGAGACGTGGCACTTGGGAAGAGCAACCAGTGCGTAGATCACATAGGAGATGAAGAAACATGGCCCCATACCTTGGGCAGTGTCGGAGAATTTTTTAACTGAGCAGGCAAGGATGAGACTGAACAAGAGAATTGAGTCTGTGTAGAGGACCCTTAGGCCGAGTAACGAGCTTGTATAAAAAGCAAGGGTTTTTAGGTAGGCTGATCAATACACTACAGGGTGTATTAACCATAAATACTGCTTCTATGTGGATGTTAAATATCCCGTGACATAAGTCGGCCTTGCGTGCCAAATCATTGTACAAATTCAAAAACTGAGACATTTCTCAAATGAGTAAACCCACGTGTCTACATCACCCCTTGCTGGCAGACTATACTCATTCGTGAAACGTTGCGCATCTATGATAGCCTTGCGCTATACGACCGGCACTAATACGAACAATAATAAAATTATCGATGATCATTTTTCTTATTGCGGGCGTCACCGGCGCGGGAAGACGCCATGGTCCAGGCTGGTGTTCTGGCTGCGCTGGAATCGCCGGCTCAGGCTGTTGGAGCTGCCGCCAGTGGGCAGAGAGGAGCTGGGAGACGGCAGAGCTGCCAGCAGCAGGCTGGTGAGAGACGCTGCGGGCACAAGACGCGCGCATTTGTTTTTTTTGTTTCTATAAAATCAAGGAAGTGTCGGTCATCACCCAAGCGGCAGGGAGTTATTGCCAGTCACTTCAAGCGCCGCCCGGGAATTGGACAATAGCTGTGCTAAGCTGTGAAGATCAGCTTGTAATAACTTGCAATTTCTTATATTTATGAAAAAATATAGAGCTAATTATTTTTTTGTTTCGTCTTTTGTGCTACAAGTAAACAAATGATGACGTGTTGAAATTCAAGACGTTTTTCGAAATTTGCTTTTTTATTTGTACAGTACTTTTGTAACCCTCTTCTCAATCCACAGCTGCATGAGGGTCTCCCCACGGCCGTGTGGGTCACGGAGGTTTATTTCGGAGCATAGTGAAGTACAAAAAAACTATGGATTCTGCTGCATTGCCCACTGCTGCCCACAACATCGTCTCATTTATAAATACCATTTAGAAATACCTCATCGCTGTGTCCTATGTTGGGGCATTTTTACTTTTGGAGAATTTGATCAGGGTGACACCGCTCATATCGAGAGATGTTGAGAGATATCAATTGCGGCAAAAAATTTAAGTGCACAAAATATACCTCGAGAGATTGCGATTCCCCTTCTTGAAACTCACCAGAGCGGGCGATGCCACTGTCACTGTCCTCGTTCTTGCCGCGGCTCGGCATGTCGAGAGGAGAGCTGTACGCTGCACGGCACAATCAGGAGTATTGGGACGGTGGGGGGGACCATCAAGAACGAGTCAACACCGCACTTCCCTCCTCAACACGCCCCAAACGCCTTGACGTGATTGGTGCCAATTACGTCGTATTGGAACTCACTGTTCTTGGCACAAAGTTGTGACTTTAAATTTTACATTGCATACAAGCTCAGTTTTGGATTTCAGGCTTTGCATGGACAGCCTGAGGTTAGTTTAGGAGACAGAATTTTGCATACACTGGATTTCTTAGGAATTGTAAATATAAATCGTCATTCCCAGCCGTGAATTTACTGCTTGAGCTGCACTAGTATCGCAATACGCCGTAATTGGCAGGGCTAGTATCGCAATAAACCACCATCATCCCAACAAAGAAATTATTGAAAGAGCCAAAGGGCTACATCTCCTGAAAATAACTTGGTTACAAATGGATAAATACACATCCCGTTTTACTCTCATAACAGCTTTCATGTCCATATGGTAATATATGGTCAACACATGGACTATATCTCAGGTAAAAATCACTGTCACTTAGATAACAGTTATCTGGCAAGTTACAGTTCGGCTGTTTAAAATCTATCAAACAAAGCTCTCTACAGCTCAAAGTTCCAGATAAGTTTACAGCATTGTCTAATATCTCTCTCACGGCATGGCTGGATTTATTATACATTATAACGGCTAAGAAGACACTGAAGAGTTTACAGCAGACACCCACAACCTTATCTACCCTAGAATGACTCTCCCCTTCAGTAAATCACCCATCCATGATGCTGTCAAATTCCACATTGTAAAAGGGCAGGACTTGTCTGTTAAGATAGGATGGATCAGAGCACAGCTTTCAATAACCAGCCAAGCCATCGTATGCATATAACGCTGTCAAGTTATTTGGAACAAAGTGCTTCATTAGCACTTCAACGGCTGGCAAAAAAATAATAATCAAAAAGACGCTGAAAATTTAAGCATTTATGTTTGTCATGATTTCAGCCAAATGTTTATATTGCCACGAGTATTTTCAGCGCCTTTTGAATTGCCTTGTACTTCCCCCCCCCCCCCTCCGTGCACATCAGACAGTTACTCTAAACAGCTGCATTCATTACTAAATCGGTGCACGAACACAAAACCGAGTTGATTCACACAAATCCTGTGTTACATCAACCGTTATCACCATAATCAACAGCACACCAAATACGCAGAATGATTTCATACAAAAGGCCATCTGAGGGGTTAAACGTACAGACAGTAGATTTCATCTATTAAAACATATTATTGTTGTTACTTTGTTCAAGCTTTTGTAAAAACCCATTAAAATCATATTCCGCTTCACCACTTCATCCTCATTTCCCCACCAAGATATAAAGTGCTGAGTTAGGTTTCCAGTGGCACAACTTTCTGGTGATCGCACGAACAAAACCCAGTGTGAGACAAACGGTGAGACCGACACGCCACCTCAGTGCAAGTTTGACACCAGGGTGAGGGGACAAGAGGTCCCTTGGGTTTTAGGCAGAGCAGTGGAAGTTAATCAGATACATCATAAAAAACATTAGTAAGCGCTGTGGTTGTTAGCACAATGGAATCCAGAGGAAGTGGAGTGTAGACGATCCTGCCTATGTGTCATCATACACTCCGGTAGAAACAATTACTCATAAAAACTAATTATTGAGAATAAATGTGAAAATACTGGCGATTTATATTGAGATCGGCTACTCAAGTAAATTTGTTTATAAAGAGCACTCAACAGTGGAAACTATAGGATTGGTCATGTGTGGAGGTTGAGTGAATGTTTACAAACAAAGAGGACTTCCAAATCTAAATTGTGCTTATTTGTAATGCACAAGTACAGGAATGAGTGCAGCATGAAAATATGCCTATGTACATAAATACCAATTGGCATTAAGTTCTCAAGTCAGCCAATCACCATAAAGCGGACACTGGGAAGCCATAAAATTCATGCTCACAATTCCATGATGACCACTTACATTTTTGAAATGGCTACCAATTGATTTGACTGATGATTCATTCGGACAAAGGGCCCTATAGGGGCATAATGGTCATTTGGACATGACAAGACTCCTGCTTGCACTGAGAGAGACTGTTTCATGCTCCTGGCGTGCGGAAAAAAAATGGAATTAAAGGGGTCACTGTAGCCTGCCCCTCTTTTACACAATCGACAGTTGTGTAACCGAATTGCCCCACATCTGCCACTTGCTATGAGGTCAATATGGGCAGGGAGAAAAAAAGGCAGCAGTGCCGTGACACGGAGGCATCCGCAGCAGAAAGGGTTTAATGCCAAATAACGTTTGGTGCTCGGCTCAGATCGTCTCATCCAATTTTTACAGCCGCAAGCATCAATTAAGATGTACAGTCAATTCTGTCTAATAGTAACTAATCATACCCAGATATTATTTACTGATCATGGGACTTACCCCAAAAGTTGTGAAAATGAAACAGGTTACAACCTATGACACTATAATTGGGTGAAAGGAATAAATAGGTTGGGGAAATTGTGGCATAGACATGCTCACAACAGAGCCCTAAGACAACAGAGACCACTCTATCCTGCGATGCAAGCTACCTTGTTAAATCCGGCCTGATGATTGGCCCTTGTGAATAAAAGTCGTACATCCAAAAATATATACCTTGTTGCTCTCTTCCTGATTATAATTTATTGATATGCCACTCAAAAAACAGAAAAGGGAAGCGTGATCAAGGATGGGGGGGGGGGGAGGTGGTGTTAGTATTTTTTTTTAAATGCAGCAGGATGCAAACTAACAGGTGGACATAACGACAGACAAACCTGCGAAGAAAGAGGCACTCCGCACTAAGCCGAACGGCATAGCGTCCAGCCCTTGCATTGAACCAGCCTGCCTACGGCAGCACAAGGAGAGGAGTCCTACTGGAGGAAAGGAGATGGGGACCCAATGGTTAGAGAAGAGGGCAGCGGAAGGTGAAGAGTACACGCAAGACGGAGTAAATGAGACAAATATAGCGACGGACAGACGACAGAACACACTTACGTTAGACGCTAACTGAATGGGAAATTAGAGACAAACAGGAGAGACAATGGAGGCAAAAGAACGGCACACAAATATAGTAGAGTCTTAAGATAGCACAAATATACGGAGTATAAACTAACACGTAAACCTGTCTTGTGAAAATGATGTGCTATAAAAACCTGGAAACAGAAACATGTTAATGAAAAACAATTGTCACAGCACTCAGATTTAATCATTGTAAATGTGTGCACCTTTCCAAGCTTACAATAAACATAAAAAGCTGTTCCCTGAGCTGCAATCAGTGTACCTCATGGATGAGTGAATTGTTGGTAATGCATGTAACGTCATTCCAATCATTACACGTCTTACATATGCCGCTTCAGTGGTGGGACACTTGAAAGAGACCAATATGAGCCACGAAATAATAATAAAAAAATTGCCCAAAATATTCCTTTGTCTTTCGTGTTGTTTGCCGCTTGTTTTCCCGGTTGCGTGTGCCAAAGCAAACTCTTGTAAAAGTTATCGTCAACCTGCTGTGCCACGTCAAAAAGTGTGCACTCACCTAATATAAACCAAATGCATGTCAATAAATGTAGTTACTCACTCCTGAATAAACACTTAATGAAATATTAAACGAAACCGCATTGCTTGCACATGTTAATAAGAACACAGCTAGTTCGTCGAGATAGCAAGGCCTGTGGCAGCATATAGACAGATGCAACCCCAAAAAACAAACATCTCTCGTGGTTAGGCACAAAGGATATATTTTCCTACGATTTGGACACACGAGCGAAGCTGCGATAAGAAACCACATTTCATTATCACGTTCACGTACCCCACTTAATCGCACTTCAGTGAACATTACAGCAGCAACTACGGAGGAGATTTTCATCACAATGTCACTGCAGTGCCATCACTGGAGGGAGCTATAGCAGTGCCCATGAAAGTAACTTAAATACCCTTTTACTCGCTCGCGTTGGAGAGCCCACAACTCACAGTCGAGGTTGGTGCCTAGAAAAAAAATGCTACGTGCTTTGACCAGGCGCTCGCTTGCTCCATATGGGCCCGCCTGCGAGCGTGGAGTTGTGTGCACGTGCACGGGGCGTGCGTGCGTACCTCGGGTTTTTTCCCGTATGACGGCACTGGAGTTCAGCACTGGGAAGGAGCGGGAGGAGGTGAGTCCCGCGTGGGTGTACTCGAAGCTGTCAGTCAGCCTGCAAACGAACAGCATCGCATGTCACCGCGCGCACAGCTGCCACAAATCTTTTAATAACGCATCATTTCCCGAGGCTGACAGAACCCTCAACCTAAATGGCCTTTCACTGCACGCCTGTTAGCTTATGCGCTGTTTACATAAGCTGGACGGCGTACTGAAATCGACAAAGGCAACAGGCGTATCTATTACGTATGTACGGTATACGTATTGCAGGAAACTACGGTGAGAATTCACGGACAAATGTATACTCACCAATTAGAAATAGATCCGTGAAATATACATATAGCAATGATATATGTATATATACCCACCAATTATTGATGCAACAGGTGTGTAACCTAGGCTAGAGAATTCCGCACATGAAGCTCTACTCCTGAGAAATATCACGGGAATCTTTAAGATCTATAAGTGGATAAGAACAGCTGTCTTAATGTCTCCAAGTGAAAAAAAACCCCGCGAGACATGAAATACTGTGCTAGCCAAGTGGAGATGAGCAGCCGAGGTCGTGCGTGGAGACGTGTGGTTAGTTTATGCGAGCGAGGTGGCACAGATACTCACAGGCTGCTGCTGCTGCCACTGAGGCTGCCCGTGCCTCCCATGTTCACCGTAAACACCTTACTCAGCATGATCTGAGGAGGACTCCTTCAACCGAGAGACAAGGATATACGCGCAAAGACACACGCACAAGGATTTCCCGTTTAGCTGTACAGACACGCTATTTACCCTTTCCCATTCCAAGACGTCTGCGAGTTGCAGGGTTGGTCCTTCTTTACCACCGAACCTCGGAACGCGCAAGCCGTTCAGCGCTAATTTTTACTTAGAGAAGCATAGCGCAGTTTTTAAAGACATTTTACTCGCCGCAGAGAACTGTAGTGACATGACCACACTCTATGATAGCTGGTGCCAAACTGTGCCACACGCCCTCCAGCATGGCCCTTGTGGGAGCCTTGGTGCCGAAAAAGTAATTTTATTGAGTTTTTTTTCTTCCCGATTCCATTCTGATTATGTACGTGTACATCATGTACAACATGTACACGTACATAACCGGAACGAGAAAGGGTTAAGGCCGGAACGGCGCACTACTGGGTGGTGTGGAGATACACCGTGCCCAGACACCTTTGTATCTCCGCACTCACCGCATGTGGTGGATCTTGAGCGTCGATCCCTTGTAGCTCATGGCCACGGAGCCGAACATCATCTCTCCTAGCATCTTCACGTCAGGGCCCATGCGCACGTACTGGTGCAGGGAAGAGGGAAAGATAGAAACGCACGCGTGCAAAATAACATTAAAATACACAATTATACAACCGTCAAATTAATATGCAATACACAATAAAGACGTTTGTCAATCCACTGCTGGATGAGGGCCTCGTCACACCGTGCGTGTTGTGGGGGTTATTTGACCATACTTCACTCTGCTCATCAGTGCTGGCTGAAGGAGGGAGCATAGAAGCACAGTACAAGAATACATTTTGTTTCACTCCATCCTGCTGCTTGAAATGTAGCTCTGGAGCAGCCAATAACACCTGTTGTGAATAGCGGTCACCCATCAAAGCCCTATTCCTTGGTCAATCCTTGCTTAGCTTTTGAGGGCTGGAGAGATTGGGCACAGGGTGAGTTGTCATAGGCACATGCATATCCATCACTTTAAAATGAATATATTTCCACATGAAACATTATCTGTATTCTGGGTTTTAAATTAGATCTTACGCTCTAAAAAATAGCATAACAGTTATGCAAATATAAGTTAACATATCTTCTAAGCTGATATAATGAATACAGAAACAAAACAAACGAGAGAGATACATTTAATAACAATAAAGACATCCATGATCTTATGTGGCACAATGGCTCTACAATACGACAATTAAACGACTTGTTAGCGAGGGAAAAACGTAAACAAGCACATGCAAGTGATGCGTGAGACTTTTTAAGTCCGATACATTCACCTAAGTTGAGGCATGACTGCTCGCCTGAAGCCCAGTGCCACACTTAAGCGCCAGGTTTGCCCAGTCTGTCATCCTGAACCGACAATGGCTTCGGTTCCCAAAATTAGGAAACTAATAATAGCCACTTTTCAAGCGTTGAGCATGTTTACTCCACTTTCAACATCGCAACTTCAACCCAAAAGAATTGTCATAAAAGTCTGTATCGAGTTACTGCCAACCAGGGCACATTTCTGCCCTCAGCTCGTGTGTTCATTTCAGAAGATGATTCGAGCTTCTGTTTTCATTCTCCGAGCCGATGACCTTAGACTAGATGGCACGGGAATGAGGGCAGGCATACAAATTCGTGCGCACACTCTGCCACAAAGAGAGGCTTTGTTAAATTTAGCCAAGGGTCACACTGGGATGAGGACGTGTATGATATATATCCAGCCTGACACAAGATTGGGTTACCACATGGAAAGTGTTATCTAAGAAGTTGTCTACATGGAAATCGGTGCTTCAGGAGTTCGGTTAGAACCTCACTCAAATGGGCCTGAAGCACTGGGCCGGAAAAGCTTTAGAAGCGCATAAGCTTCGTATCGACATAAAACAACAGTGTCCGATTGTATGACATTGAATTATAGTTGCCCAATGACAACAGTGGTTTCTGCAACCATAGCCATTGAAGCATCGCATGACATCGACGCAATTATTAAGGTAATTGTGCACAAATGGAACTATTTAATTAAAAATTACAGTTCCCTCAGACAGGGCTTTGTCAGACCAACCTGTAAACGCGTGACTTGCCACAATCCAGCCCAGCCTGGATTTGGCCTCAGCACATGCAATTCAGCCAAAGCTGGTTTAATCCTAGCCCCACCTGATCCAAACCTGACCCAATCTAGAGCAACTGGCCTTAGGCTAGCTCAACGCGGGCTACCCATAGTTCACCCAACTAGAAGTTTTCATCCCAAACATGCCCCAGCCCTACCTGGTACTTGGGTTGAGCCTCCCCGCTGGACGGAGCCTGCGAGGAGGAGGAATTGGAGTTGAGGCTCCCCGAGCTCCCGCCGTTTGAGCGGCACCTGCCCAAGCCTCTCGGCGACTCATCGCTCTTCTGCAGCACACAGAACAAAGAGACGAACAGCACGCGCTGTTAACAATGCGGTACAAGCATGAAGTGGCTGGGTATGTATGTACGTATGTTGAACTTCTTTTGCACCGTACGTAGCCAACCATGCTAATCTGAGGTGCGGGAGAAGGAAAACAAACAACACAAAAAGCAGTTCTAAAGGAATGAGTTTTCATCTACAGTGAGGGAAACAAGTATTTGATCCCCTGCTGATTATGTACGTTTGCCCACTGACAAAGAAATGATCAGTCTATAATTTTAATGGTAGGTTTATTTGAACAGTGAGAGACAGAATAACAACAAAAAAATCCAGAAAAACGCATGTCAAAAATGTTATAAATTGATTTGCATTTTAATGAGGGAAATAAGTATTTGGCCCCCTCTCAATCAGAAAGATTTCTGGCTCCCAGGTGTCTTTTACACAGGTAACGTGCTGAGATTAGGAGCACACTCTTAAAGGGAGTGCTCCTAATCTCAGCTTGTTACCTGTATAAAAGACACCTGTCCACAGAAGCAATCAATCAATCAGATTCCAAACTCTCCACGATGGCCAAGACCGAAGAGCTCTCCAAGGATGTCAGGGACAAGATTGTAGACCTACAAGACCATTGCCAAGCAACTTGATATCGAAGACGGCCACAAAAGCGCATCGAAAAGCACGAAGGCAGTGACCGTCTTTGTTCGATGGTTAACCAAAAGCCGCTGCAAGGATGACCAGAGTTGGTGTGGTTGTTTATGCTCCCTGACAAAATCAGCAAGGTATTGTTGTTCATTCATGGCAAGCAGAGGTCGAAGCTGCCCCTGAGACACCCGGGTTCGAATCCAGCCAGCCGCATGCAAGTGGAACTATTTAATTAAAAATTACAGTTCGCTCGAGACAGGGCTTTGTCTCTCTGCCCAGCAACGAGTGACTGACAGAGACCCCATAGCCTCAGACAATTAAACACTCACATCAAGACCTATAGATTCACATGGAGATCTACAAACCCACATTTCCTGAATTGTGAATAAATAGTTTTCAAGGGTAGCAAGTTAATGGTCTCGGCTAGGTCACCAATGAACGCACACACAACCATCTTATTAAAGCTAATTGATAAGACAAATGATGTTTAAAAAACCCTCTTAGAGCTACAAATATGCACTTTAGTACAACACAAAAGTCACTTATACACAACGGACACAATACAAATACACACGTGAGCAGATTCGGCTATTAAAATGCTTTGGGCTATGACTCACTAGAGCACATTCTCTAGCTCTAGTCCAAATGTAACACGTGCCACCCCTTTTTGCCAAAGGCTCGCCATGAGCGTCAGCTTGCAGAGACACTAAAACAAATAAACAAACCACCACCAGGCAAACACACACACACACACACACGAGTCATACAAGGCTGCTGAACGAATGAACACAAAGACATCGGTGTCTTTTCAGTTTCAACAGAAAAGTGGGCGTAAATACGACAACAGCGGCACCATGGCGAGGGAAGAGCCACCAGGTGCAGATGTGGGGGTTTGCGAGCGAGATGAGTGAAGCCCCACGGTGAGAGCAGCCTTGGCAACGGCTTTCAACGACAACACAACACCGCCACCAGTCACGCCCGGTGAAGGTGTGCAGGAGAAACAGCGCGTGATTGTCCCGTTGTGACAATGACCTCGGCAGAGGTTAGTCACCACGTCAATCATTAAAGAGACGCAGTCGGTCGAATTTCATCTGCATTCGCGCAGCGACGTACAGCTTTGCGGGACAGCAGATGACAAACAGATATGTTACGGCCTTTAACAGACTAATGGGGCAGGTGTTGTTAGCCAGGGCCAATTAAGGCTGGCAAGGCACACGAGAGTGGTTGGTGTACCCACACAACACCACGTCTGGCCACCTTTGTCTTCCTAGTGCTGTTTTTTTTTTTACTTACACACGTAATAAAAGGATTTAATTTAAGGCTGCAATGACCTAGGGCAGGGCCCAGGACCAGTTCAGATATCGCTCACCACTTATGTTAGCGGTGGCCAGGAATCGACCTCAGTTTGCGATATTCATAGCGGAGTTCACTAACCATTGCGACGGTTCTCCACAATATTATATATCCCCCTTCAAGGTCACCGAAGACTGTCGAGAAAAGTGCTGTCAGCGAGCGTCTATTATGGCCACCGTGGGTCACGAAACCAAGGCGAGCGCTCATCGCCACATCTGGCCACCTGAGGATCCCAACCAATTACGACGTACATTGCATGACGTTCTCATTTTTGAACGGCTGACTGCTACGTTCAGTTAACGTAAAAAAAAATGACGCGGCCAACTGGGGCTTAATTTATGACAAGAGACAAGCTCACGCGCGTTCACCATCTTGTTTCATTCGGGCGTCGTAAAAGAATGGCATGGAATGGGGCAAGCGTGCCAGTTGTGTCCTTTCGCTTTAAGTGGAGTCCAAACACCAAGGGGACAAAAATTATCCTTATCACATCTCGTACGTCCAGCGTTGAGGTGAAGTAAATTACATATTAATTGAAGATAACATATTAACATAAAGAATAAACAATTAAAATGTTTTAATGCCAGTGTTAAAATAAATGAAATAACCCTATGTGTCCTGACTTTTGGACCACCCTGTATATACACGTGTGTGAAGAGTCACAGATGGCATGGAGGAGTAAGCCAAATACCTTCTGTAGTGGCTCAATACAGCTCTTTCTACCAACGCTCCTCTGCCAGCAGTGGCATGAGCAAGCAATTGCAGGGCTGCACCTTTATAAATATATAAATGTGTTTACATGGATGATACACAATGCAGCGGTGGCCACAGTTTGGATATGAATATTTTAGCTAATTCATTGAGGGCTAAGACATTTTACTTACATACAACACAATAATATGCAAAAAGAAAGTGAAGTCATATAACTATTTGAGGAAGCAGACGTCCAGCAAACAGCCTATAGCAGTGACATTACCATCCACTCAAGGATACATATTTTGAATGTTAAAATCGCAAATCTGGTTTTCAGTTTACATTTTGAAACCCATAGCAGTCTTGAAAAATCTGGACATGAGCCAGTAAGTTGCAGGCGGGCGCAGCAGCAAAAAAAAACAAACATAAGGAATCCTTATGGTAGCTTCGGAGGGGGAAAGCACGTGAGCTGTGTGTTTATTCTTGGGGAGTGAACTTTTTACATTCAAGCTTTGCACGAGCCGTGCAGAGCGAGTTGGGGGGGGGTGCCGTGCATGAGCAGCCATGGAGAGATTGGATGTGCCACGGTTCGTGTGGAGGAATTGCAAAGGGACTGCAGATGTCACGGGATAGGAGCCGTCATGCAGAGAGTGGGTTGGTTGTAAAAATACACAGGATGTGTCAAATGGTCCGCCGGCCAAAACATCCATTCTTTCCAAAGAGCGCACGTGATCACTTTTTTGCGATTTATCCAACCGCAAATGTTTGGGGGCTGAACACATCGCATGCTAGCCTCAATGGATTTCAAGACCTCAGGTTCGGGTCTGACCAAAAGCCTCATGACAAAGCACGCGGAGCACACAATTTAAAGCAAGTGTTTTAAGTGTGCAGTAGTTGTACCAAGAGGTGTAAAAAAATCGTCATTGATATGCTGACTGGTGTCTGTGTGTAGGCCAAACATGGAAAATGTATGTATGCGTGTATAAATATATGCGCACACACACACCCACACAAACGGATATAACAGAGGCAGGCAGCATGTGATGCGGCGTGGGTGGCACTATATTTATGGTTACATACCCCGTATAGTGTGCAAGAGGCCGTGTTTTATTTCACTCCCCGAAAGGGCCTGGCGTACTTGCGATAACAGCTTTGGCCCCGATGGTGCCGGTGAGTTGCCAACACTTTGTTTATCTGAATATTTGTTTACACTTCCAGACTACACGCTTGGCTTGTGTCCACATTCAACCCCTCGCACAACAGGGGGGGGGGGGGGTTGTTCGGGTGGAGGGATCTGCCTTTCCCCCTCAGCCAACTCGGGGAAACTTTTAGTAGGAGACCGACTTTCAATGTGTTCACTCGGGCATAAGTTCCTTCACCAGTTGAAATGCAAGTGCGCTCGAGGGGTCAACGCACATGCTTGCACACCAATGCAATTACAGCTTTAGATTTTTCTCAATTTCAAATAGGTATTGGATACATGGTCAAGATCACCCAGAACAAGTGGTGGATGTCATACCCCTTTCCAGACTTTCATAGATAAAACATCTGACTCTGCATTCATTGGTTGTTAACGAGATCCCATGACTGTCTAAATGTGAGTCATTGTACGCATGGTGTCATGGCCAAATTAAACACCCAGCAATAAGGTATACATCATGCCAATGATCTCACGAATGGCGCCATTACAATTCTCTCCAGCAACGTTTACACCACACGCAAAACACACGATGTACGTTATGTTGAACTTCTTTCGCACCGTACATAGCCAACCGTGCTAATCGGAAGTGCCTGCAGCATCACCAAGAGGCCCCAAAGGGATCACGGATCCCCCCAACAAGAGCAAAACAGGTACACAGCTGCAAGTTACCATGGCACGACAAATCTATGGCCGTGATCCCGGCTGCAAGAGGCATTTGACCCTGCAAGACAACGTGTTGACACCATGAAATCCCACAATCCTTAGCGGGCATCACGCTCTTTTGCATATGGATGCAAGTTAAAAACTTCCATATATTACGCACCGTCCTCAATATCCCCTTTTTCAGGGATATTATGAGTATACATCTAAAAATACTACTTGTAATCATTCCGGTATACAGTGTTGGAATACAAGTTAAGTGTTTAAAAGTCGTTGTTCTTGCATTTCTACGGTTGATACCGAACATGTGGCAAGGCGCTTGTTCAAGGAAATACTGCAGGCGTGAAAAGAAATCACAACCACACGTGCGGCAGGTATAAAAACAAAATGCGCCCCTTTGCCATTGTGAACGGTCAGCGCAAGTTCTACGGTCCGAACGAAAACACTCGCACCTCAGGG